CTCAAGCAAAGCACTCAAGCAAAGCACTCAAGAAAAGCACTCAAGAAAAGCACTCAAGCAAAGCACTCAAGCAAGCACTCAAGCAAAGCACTCAAAAAAGCACTCAAGCAAAGCACTCAAGCAAAGCACTCAGGCAAAGCACTCAAGCAAAGCACTCAAGCAAAGCACTCAAGAAAAGCACTCAAGCAAAGCACTCAGGCAAAGCACTCAAGCAAAGCACTAAAGCAAAGCACTCAAGCAAAGCACTCAAGCAAAGCACTCAAGCAAAGCACTCAATCAAAGCACTCAATCAAAGCACTCAAGCAAAGCACTCAAGCAAAGCACTCAATCAAACCACTCAAGCAAAGCACTCAAGAAAAGCACTCAAGCAAAGCACTCAAGCAAAGCACTCAAGCAAAGCACTCAAGCAGAGCACTCAAGAAAAGCACTCAAGAAAAGCACTCAAGCAAAGCATTCAAGCAAAGCACTCAAGCAAAGCACTCAAGAAAAGCACTCAAGCAAAGCACTCAAGAAAAGCACTCAAGCAAAGCACTCAAGAAAAGCACTCAAAAAAAGCACTCAAGCAAAGCACTCAAGCAAAGCACTCAGGCAAAGCACTCAAGCAAAGCACTCAAGCAAAGCACTCAAGAAAAGCACTCAAGCAAAGCACTCAGGCAAAGCACTCAAGCAAAGCACTCAAGAAAAGCACTCAAGCAAAGCACTCAAGCCAAAGCACTCAGGCAAAGCACTCAAGCAAAGCACTCAAGCAAAGCACTCAAGAAAAGCACTCAAGAAAAGCACTCAAGCAAAGCACTCAAGCAAAGCACTCAAGCAAAGCACTCAAGCAAAGCACTCAAGCAAAGCACTCAGGCAAGCACTCAGGCAAAGCACTCAAGCAAAGCACTCAAGAAAAGACCTCAAGCAAAGCACTCAAGCAAATCACTCAAGCAAGGCACTCAAGCAAAGCACTCAAGCAAAGCACTCAAGAAAAGCACTCAAGCAAAGCAATCAAGCAAAGCACTCAAGCAAAGCACTCAAGAAAAGCACCCAAGCAAAGCACTCAAGCAAAGCACTCAAGCAAAGCACTCAAGAAAAGCACTCAGGCAAAGCACTCAAGCAAAGCACTTAAGCAAAGCACTCAAGAAAAGCACTCAAGCAAAGCACTCAAGCAAAGCACTCAGGCAAGCACTCAGGCAAAGCACTCAAGCAAAGCACTCAAGAAAAGCACTCAAGCAAAGCACTCAAACAAAGCACTCAAGCAAAGCACTCAAGCAAAGCACTCAAGCAAAGCACTCAAGCAAAGCACTCAATCAAAGCACTCAAACAAAGCACTCAAGCAAAGCACTCAAGCAAAGCACTCAAGCAAAGCACTCAAGCAAATCACTCAAGAAAAGCACTCAAGAAAATCACTCAAGAAAAGCACTCAAGCAAAGCACTCAGGCAAAGCACTCAAGCACTCAAGAAAAGCACTCCAGAAAAGCACTCAAGCAAAGCACTCAAGCAAAGCACTCAAGCAAAGCACTCAATCAAAGCACTCAATCAAAGCACTCAAGCAAAGCACTCAAGCAAAGCACTCAAGCAAAGCACTCAAGAAAAGCACTCAAGCAAAGCACTCAAGCAAAGCACTCAAGCAAAGCACTCAAGCAAAGCACTCAGGCAAAGCACTCAAGCAAAGCACTCAAGCAAAGCACTCAAGAAAAGCACTCAAGAAAAGCACTCAAGCAAAGCACTCAAGCAAAGCACTCAAGAAAAGCACTCAAAAAAAGCACTCAAGCAAAGCACTCAAGCAAAGCACTCAGGCAAAGCACTCAAGCAAAGCACTCAAGCAAAGCACTCAAGAAAAGCACTCAAGCAAAGCACTCAGGCAAAGCACTCAAGCAAAGCACTCAAGCAAAGCACTCAAGCAAAGCAGTCAAGCAAAGCACTCAAGCAAAGCACTCAATCAAAGCACTCAATCAAAGCACTCAAGCAAAGCACTCAAGCAAAGCACTCAATCAAACCACTCAAGCAAAGCACTCAAGAAAAGCACTCAAGCAAAGCACTCAAGCAAAGCACTCAAGCAAAGCACTCAAGCAGAGCACTCAAGAAAAGCACTCAAGAAAAGCACTCAAGCAAAGCATTCAAGCAAAGCACTCAAGCAAAGCACTCAAGAAAAGCACTCAAGCAAAGCACTCAAGAAAAGCACTCAAGCAAAGCACTCAAGAAAAGCACTCAAAAAAAGCACTCAAGCAAAGCACTCAAGCAAAGCACTCAGGCAAAGCACTCAAGCAAAGCACTCAAGCAAAGCACTCAAGAAAAGCACTCAAGCAAAGCACTCAGGCAAAGCACTCAAGCAAAGCACTCAAGAAAAGCACTCAAGCAAAGCACTCAAGCAAAGCACTCAGGCAAAGCACTCAAGCAAAGCACTCAAGCAAAGCACTCAAGAAAAGCACTCAAGAAAAGCACTCAAGCAAAGCACTCAAGCAAAGCACTCAAGCAAAGCACTCAAGCAAAGCACTCAAGCAAAGCACTCAGGCAAGCACTCAGGCAAAGCACTCAAGCAAAGCACTCAAGAAAAGACCTCAAGCAAAGCACTCAAGCAAATCACTCAAGCAAGGCACTCAAGCAAAGCACTCAAGCAAAGCACTCAAGAAAAGCACTCAAGCAAAGCAATCAAGCAAAGCACTCAAGCAAAGCACTCAAGAAAAGCACCCAAGCAAAGCACTCAAGCAAAGCACTCAAGTAGAGCACTCAAGAAAAGCACTCAGGCAAAGCACTCAAGCAAAGCACTTAAGCAAAGCACTCAAGAAAAGCACTCAAGCAAAGCACTCAAGCAAAGCACTCAGGCAAGCACTCAGGCAAAGCACTCAAGCAAAGCACTCAAGAAAAGCACTCAAGCAAAGCACTCAAACAAAGCACTCAAGCAAAGCACTCAAGCAAAGCACTCAAGCAAAGCACTCAAGCAAAGCACTCAATCAAAGCACTCAAACAAAGCACTCAAGCAAAGCACTCAAGCAAAGCACTCAAGCAAAGCACTCAAGCAAATCACTCAAGAAAAGCACTCAAGAAAATCACTCAAGAAAAGCACTCAAGCAAAGCACTCAGGCAAAGCACTCAAGCACTCAAGAAAAGCACTCCAGAAAAGCACTCAAGCAAAGCACTCAAGCAAAGCACTCAAGCAAAGCACTCAATCAAAGCACTCAATCAAAGCACTCAAGCAAAGCACTCAAGCAAAGCACTCAAGCAAAGCACTCAAGAAAAGCACTCAAGCAAAGCACTCAAGCAAAGCACTCAAGCAAAGCACTCAAGCAAAGCACTCAAGAAAAGCACTCAAGCAAAGAACTCAAGAAAAGCACTCAAGAAAAGCACTCAAGCAAAGCACTCAAGCAAAGCACTCAGGCAAAGCACTCAAGCAAAGCACTCAAGCAAAGCACTCAAGAAAAGCACTCAAGCAAAGCACTCAAGCAAAGCACTCAAGCAAAGCACTCAAGCAAAGCACTCAAGAAAAGCACTCAAGAAAAAGCACTCAAGCAAAGCACTCAAGCAAAGCATTCAAGCAAAGCACTCAAGCAAAGCACTCAAGAAAAGCACTCAAGAAAAGCACTCAAGCAAAGCACTCAAGCAAAGCACTCAAGCAAAGCACTCAAGCAAAGCACTCAAGGAAAGCACTCAGGCAAGCACTCACGCAAAGTACTCAAGCACTCAAGAAAAGCACTCCAGAAAAGCACTCAAGCAAAGCACTCAAGCAAAGCACTCAAGCAAAGCACTCAATCAAAGCACTCAATCAAAGAACTCAAGCAAAGCACTCAAGCAAAGCACTCAAGCAAAGCACTCAAGCAAAGCACTCAAGAAAAGCACTCAAGCAAAGCACTAAAGCAAAGCACTCAAGCAAAGCACTCAAGCAAAGCACTCAAGAAAAGCACTCAAGAAAAGCACTCAAGCAAAGCACTCAAGAAAAGCACTCAAGAAAAGCACTCAAGAAAAGCACTCAAGAAAAGCACTCAAGCAAAGCACTCAAGCAAAGCACTCAAGCAAAGCACTCAAGCAAAGCACTCAAGCAAAGCACTCAAGCAAAGCACTCAAGCAAAGCACTCAGGCAAGCACTCAGGCAAAGCACTCAAGCAAAGCACTCAAGAAAAGCACTCAAGCAAAGCACTCAAACAAAGCACTCAAGCAAAGCACTCAAGCAAAGCACTCAGACAAAGCACTCAAGCAAAGCACTCAAGAAAAGCACTCAAGCAAAGCACTCAAGCAAAGCAATCAAGCAAAGCACTCAAGCAAAGCACTCAAGAAAAGAACTCAAGAAAAGCACTCAAGAAAAGCACTCAAGCAAAGCATGGCGTGGCGTGGGAGAAAAGGAACAAGAAAGTTACGAACGTTGGAGTTCGTATGCTTTTGATAATTTGGTTGTGGTGACCATGGAGAGTTGTGGGGTTGACTCAATATGGGGTACAGACTTTGGGGATTGGGAAATTCGTCACTACTACTGTAGTTGCTGCCAATTGGTTGGGAGACACCAAACCAGGTTTGCAAGTGTGGCCAAGTTGGGTTGAGGTGGATTGTGGAGGTTGGGATAGTGACAAAGGTCAAAGTTGGGTTGCCTATGGGGAAGGAAATTGTGTGGCATGGAGTTTTCTTTGGTTGGGGACTCCTTGGGACCTTCCCTCTCATCCTCCTTTTTCCTCCTACCTGGTTTAGTGCTACTCTAACTCTCTTGTGTGCAACTCTTGTGAACTTGTGAAACTATTGTGAGTGAATTTAATTTCTATGTGGCAGCATACCCCCTGGTGCGCCGAGAAGCATAACTCGAGATTTACTCTACGTTTCGATACGATTGAAATTGGGAATGATAGCCACAAACAAGGGCTATAACACACTCGAGTTTGAGTAGATTCTGAAAGTGCACTTTCCGTCGACAACGTTTCTTGTGAAGTCGCGGTTTCTGTCCAGAATTTCAAGCCAACGATTTTGAGAAATTTAGGCTCCTAATCATCACAGACTCGATCCTTAGTCTCTAACAATCACCACGGTTGCCTGCACCCATGACAGCCCTGCACCATTCCGCCCATCCCTTTTCTCCCATCCCTTTTCTCCCATCCCTTTTCTCCCATCCCTTTTCTCCCATCCCTTTTCTCCCATCCCTTTTCTCCCTTCCCTTTTCTCCCATTCCTTTTCTCCCATCCCTTTTCTCCCATCCCTTTTCTCCCATCCCTTTTCTCCCATCCCTTTTCTCCCATCCCTTTTCTCCCATCCCTTTTCTCCCATCCCTTTTCTCCCATCCCTTTTCTCCCATCCCTTTTCTCCCATCCCTTTTCTCCCATCCCTTTTCTCCCAACCCTTTTCTCCCATCCCTTTTCTCCCATCCCTTTTCTCCCATCCCTTTTCTCCCATCCCTTTTCTCCCATCCCTTTTCTCCTTCCCTTTTCTCCATCCTTTTCTCCCATCCCTTTTCTCCCATCCCTTTTCTCCCATCCCTTTCCTCCCATCCCTTTTCTCCCATCCTTTTCTCCCATCCCTTTTCTCCATCCTTTCTCCTTCCCTTTTCTCCCATCCCTTTTCTCCCATCCCTTTTCTCCCATCCCTTTTCTCCCATCCCTTTTCTCCCTTCCCTTTTCTCCCATCCCTTTTCTCCCATCCCTTTTCTCCCATCCCTTTTCTCCCTTCCCTTTTCTCCCTTCCCTTTTCTCCCTTCCTTTTTCTCCCTTCCCTTTTCTCCCATCCCTTTTCTCCCTTCCATTTTCTCCCATCCCTTTCTCCCATCCCTTCTCTCCCATCCGTTTTCTCCCATCCCTTTTCTCCCATCCCTTTTCTCCCTTCCCTTTTCTCCCATCCCTTTTCTCCCATCCCTTCTCTCCCATCCGTTTTCTCCCATCCCTTTTCTCCCATCCCTTTTCTCCCTTTCCTTTTCTCCCATCCCTTTTCTCCCATCCCTTTCTCCCATCCCTTTTCTCCCATCCTTTTCTCCCATCCCTTTCCTCCCTTCCCTTTTCTCCCATCCCTTTCTCCCATCCCTTTTCTCCCATCCCTTTTCTCCCATCCCTTTTTTCCCATCCCTTTTTTCCCTTCCCTTTTCTCCCTTCCCTTTTCTCCCATCCCTTTTCTCCCATCCCTTTTCTCACATCCCTTTTCTCCCATCCCTTTTCTCCCATCCCTTTTCTCCCTTCCCTTTTCTCCCATCCCTTTTCTCCCTTCCCTTTTCTCCCTTCCCTTTTCTCCCATCCCTTTTCTCCCATCCCTTTTCTCCCTTCCCTTTTTCCCACCCCTTTTCTCCCTTCCCTTTTCTCCCTTCCCTTTTCTCCCTTCTCTTTTCTCCCTTCCTTTTTCTCCCATCCCTTTTCTCCCATCCCTTCTCTCCCATCCGTTTTCTCCCATCCCTTTTCTCCCATCCCTTTTCTCCCATCCCTTTTCTCCCTTCCCTCTTCTCCCATCCCTTTTCTCCCATCCCTTCTCTCCCATCCGTTTTCTCCCATCCCTTTTCTCCCATCCCTTTTCTCCCATTCCTTTTCTCCCATCCCTTTTCTCCCATCCCTATCTCCCATCCCTTTTCTCCCATCCCTTTTCTCCCATCCCTTTTTTCCCATCCCTTTTTTCCCTTCCCTTTTCTCCCTTCCCTTTTCTCCCATCCCTTTTCTCCCATCCCTTTTCTCACATCCCTTTTTCCCATCCCTTTTCTCCCATCCCTTTTCTCCCATCCCTTTTCTCCCTTCCCTTTCTCCCATCCCTTTTCTCCCATCCCTTTTCTCCCATCCTTTTCTCCCATCCCTTTTCTCCATCCCTTTTCTCCCATCCCTTTTCTCCCATCCCTTTTCTCCCATCCCTTTTCTCCCATCCCTTTTCTCCCATCCCTTTTCTCCCATCCCTTTTCTCCCATCCCTTTTCTCCCATCCCTTTTCTCCCATCCCTTTTCTCCCATCCCTTTTCTCCCATCCCTTTTCTCCCTTCCCTTTTCTCCCATCCCTTTCTCCCATCCCTTTTCTCCCATCCCTTTTCTCCATCCCTTACCTCCCATCCCTTTTCTCCCATCCCTTTTCTCCCATCCCTTTTCTCCCATCCCTTTTCTCCCTTCCCTTTTCTCCCATCCCTTTTCTCCCATCCCTTTTCTCCCATCCCTTTTCTCCCATCCCTTTTCTCCCTTCCCTTTTCTCCCATCCCTTTTCTCCCATCCCTTTTCTCCCATCCCTTGTCTCCTTCCCTTTTCTCCCTTCCCTTTTCTCCCTTCCCCTTTCTCCCTTCCCTTTTCTCCCTTCCCTTTTCTCCCATCCCTTTTCTCCCATCCCTTTTCTCCCATCCCTTTTCTCCCATCCCTTTCCTCCCATCCCTTTTCTCCCATCCCTTTTCTCCCATCCCTTTTCTCCCATCCCTTTTCTCCCTTCCCTTTTCTCCCATCCCTTTTCTCCCATCCCTTTTCTCCCATCCCTTTTCTCCCATCCCTTTTCTCCCTTCCCTTTTCTCCATCCCTTTTCTCCCATCCCTTTTCTCCCATCCCTTGTCTCCCTTCCCTTTTCTCCCTTCCCTTTTCTCCCTTCCCTTTTCTCCCTTCCCTTTTCTCCCATCCCTTTTCTCCCTTCCCTTTTCTCCCATCCCTTTTCTCCCATCCCTTCTCTCCCATCTGTTTTCTCCCATCCCTTTTCTCCCATCCCTTTTCTCCCATCCCTTTTCTCCCTTCCCTTTTCTCCCATCCCTTTTCTCCCATCCCTTCTCTCCCATCCGTTTTCTCCCATCCCTTTTCTCCCATCCCTTTTCTCCCATTCCTTTTCTCCCATCCCTTTTCTCCCATCCCTTTCTCCCATCCCTTTTCTCCCATCCCTTTTCTCCCATCCCTTTCCTCCGTTCCCTTTTCTCCCATCCCTTTCTCCCATCCCTTTTCTCCCATCCCTTTTCTCCCATCCCTTTTTTCCCATCCCTTTTTTCCCTTCCCTTTTCTCCCTTCCCTTTTCTCCCATCCCTTTTCTCCCATCCCTTTTCTCACATCCCTTTTTCCCATCCCTTTTCTCCCATCCCTTTTCTCCCATCCCTTTTCTCCCTTCCCTTTTCTCCCATCCCTTTTCTCCCATCCCTTTTCTCCCATCCCTTTTCTCCCATCCCTTTTCTCCCATCCCTTTTCTCCCATCCCTTTTCTCCCATCCCTTTTCTCCCATCCCTTTTCTCCCATCCCTTTTCTCCCATCCCTTTTCTCCCATCCCTTTTCTCCCATCCCTTTTCTCCCATCCCTTTTCTCCCATCCCTTTTCTCCCATCCCTTTTCTCCCATCCCTTTTCTCCCTTCCCTTTTCTCCCATCCCTTTTCTCCCATCCCTTTTCTCCCATCCCTTTTCTCCCATCCCTTTCCTCCCATCCCGTTTCTCCCATCCCTTTTCTCCCATCCCTTTTCTCCCATCCCTTTTCTCCCTTCCCTTTCTCCCATCCCTTTTCTCCCATCCCTTTTCTCCCATCCCTTTTCTCCCATCCCTTTTCTCCCTTCCCTTTTCTCCCATCCCTTTTCTCCCATCCCTTTTCTCCCATCCCTTGTCTCCCTTCCCTTTTCTCCCTTCCCTTTTCTCTCTTCCCTTTTCTCCCTTCCCTTTTCTCCCATCCCTTTTCTCCCATCCCTTTTCTCCCATCCCTTTTCTCCCATCCCTTTTCTCCCATCCCTTTCCTCCCATCCCTTTTCTCCCATCCCTTTTCTCCCATCCCTTTTCTCCCATCCCTTTTCTCCCTTCCCTTTTCTCCCATCCCTTTTCTCCCATCCCTTTTCTCCCATCCCTTTTCTCCCATCCCTTTTCTCCCTTCCCTTTTCTCCCATCCCTTTTCTCCCATCCCTTTTCTCCCATCCCTTGTCTCCCTTCCCTTTTCTCCCTTCCCTTTTCTCCCTTCCCTTTTTCTCCCTTCCCTTTTCTCCCATCCCTTTTCTCCCTTCCCTTTTCTCCCATCCCTTTTCTCCCATCCCTTCTCTCCCATCTGTTTTCTCCCATCCCTTTTCTCCCATCCCTTTCCTCCCATCCCTTTTCTCCCTTCCCTTTTCTCCCATCCCTTTTCTCCCATCCCTTTTCTCCCTTCCCTTTTCTCCCATCTCTTTTCTCCCATCCCTTTTCTCCCATTCCTTTTCTCCCATCCCTTTTCTCCCATCCCTTTCTCCCATCCCTTTTCTCCCATCCCTTTTCTCCCATCCCTTTCCTCCGTTCCCTTTTCTCCCATCCCTTTCTCCCATCCCTTTTCTCCCATCCCTTTTCTCCCATCCCTTTTTTCCCATCCCTTTTTTCCCTTCCCTTTTCTCCCTTCCCTTTTCTCCCATCCCTTTTCTCCCATCCCTTTTCTCACATCCCTTTTCTCCCATCCCTTTTCTCCCATCCCTTTTCTCCCTTCCCTTTTCTCCCATCCCTTTTCTCCCTTCCCTTTTCTCCCTTCCCTTTTCTCCCATCCCTTTTCTCCCTTCCCTTTTCTCCCATCCCTTTTCTCCCATCCCTTTCCTCCCTTCCCTTTTCTCCCTTCCCTGTTCTCCCATCCCTTTTCTCCCATTCCTTTTCTCCCATCCCTTTTCTCCCATCCCTTTCTCTCATCCCTTTTCTCCCATCCCTTTTCTCCCATCCCTTTCCTCCCTTCCCTTTTCTCCCATCCCTTTCTCCCATCCCTTTTCTCCCATCCCTTTTCTCCCATCCCTTTTCTCCCATCCCTTTTCTCCCATCCCTTTTCTCCCATCCCTTTCTTCCATCCCTTTTCTCCCATCCCTTTTCTCCCTTCCCTTTTCTCCCTTCCCTTTTCTCCCATCCCTTTTCTCCCTTCCCTTTTCTCCCTTCCCTTTTCTCCCTTCCCTTTTCTCCCATCCCTTTTCTCCCATCCCTTTTCTCCCATCCCTTTTCTCCCATCCCTTTTCTCCCATCCCTTTCCTCCCTTCCCTTTTCTCCCATCCCTTTTCTCCCATCCCTTCTCTCCCATTCCTTCTCTCCCATCCGTTTTCTCCCATCCGTTTTCTCCCATCCCTTTTCTCCCATCCCTTTTCTCCCATCCCTTATCTCCCATCCCTTTCTCCCATCCCTTTTCTCCCATCCCTTTTCTCCCTTCCCTTTTCTCCCATCCCTTTTCTCCCATCCCTTTTCTCCCATCCCTTTTCTCCCTTCCCTTTTCTCCCTTCCCTTTTCTCCCATCCCTTTTCTCCCATCCCTTTTCCCACATCCCTTTTCTCCCATCCCTTTTCTCCCATCCCTTTTCTCCCTTCCCTTTTCTCCCATCCCTTTTCTCCCTTCCCTTTTCTCCCTTCCCTTTTCTCCTATCCCTTTTCTCCCTTCCCTTTTCTCCCATCCCTTTTCTCCCTTCCCTTTCTCCCTTGCACTCATCCCGCACGTGTCTGCGACCATGGCAGCCCTGCACCAAACCGCACACTCCCTTTCCCCCTCCCACTCCCCTTTGCAGGCGTCCAATCCCACATCCCTTCCCCCTCCCCCCCATCCTATCCCCGCCCTCCCCCGGCGCTCACTCTTGAGGCATGTGCGGGTCCACATTGGCTCAGCTGCCCTCAACGACTGCAATGGGCGGCAGCAGCAGGGGCAGCGCTATCCTCCACCTACCCACCTCTCTCTCCCCCCAACCCCGCACTCACTCGTGAGGCGAGAGCCGGTGTGGATTGGCCCAGCTGCCCTCACAGTCTTGCAATGGGCATAGCACGTGCCATCACAGTCTTGCCTGTGCCGTGCCCACCCACCAGCGCCACGCCCCCCAGACCCCCCTTCCCATTTCCCCCGACTTCCTTCCCCCTACGCGCTCACATCGCGAAAGTGTGAGGCTCGAAAAGTTGCGGGCCAGCAGCTTCAAAGTTGCTTTTCTGCAAAAAAGGTTCTGAAAAGCAACTTTGAAGCTGCTGGCCCGCAACTTTTCGAGCCTCACACTTTCGCGACGGCAGAACGCGGGTAGGGGCGTAAGGGGCTACGGGAATGCTCCTTGCGCGCCATGGGGTGGCGGAAGCGTGTACTATCTGATACTGGCGGCTGCGTGCCGCGTTTCCAAAGTCTAAATGGGAAAGGAAGCGATCGCATGGACAGATAGACGAAGTTAACGAGCAGTCACTCCTATGCCTCGCTGCTGAGCGGCAATTGCTGACTGGTAAACTCAGTTCGCTGAGAGCGACTGGCACTACCACTTGACGCGACTGGATAAGCCGAATGCTGGACATGGTGACTCGATAATATTAGGAGTTGGCGACTAGAACGTGTTATTCTGCTGCCATGACATGGCGCCCACTTCTAAAAGACTAGATAAAGAAAGAACGAAACGAAGTAGCGTGAGCGTGACTGATGAAGAAATGGAAAGATGGGGGAATTGCCAAGAACGATGGAAGAACGAGTCAGTGAGGAGAGGAGAGAAGCTGCGGGCAAGTGGGGAATCGCGGCGCGTTCCCTTGATTGGAAATTGTCCTTCCCTCGAAATCTACGTGTGCTGTGACGCGACGCGGGAAAGAGAGAATTCGTTTCCAGCGTGGCGACGTTGAAACACAACGAGAAGGAGAGAGGACGGAGCCACATATGAATGACGTCACGTGCATGTGAAATCGCACGTGGCGGACGAATGTGAAGCGAACTCGAGCTGTGCTATTGAATTGAGGTGTCGAACAAACCGAACTGAAGTACGGCGATAAACAGCTCTTCGTCACAGGGCGAGTTACACCAGCTCAACTGCGCATCGTCTGCTCGAATGAGGTCTAAAAGCTTTGTACACGGTACCGATCGGTTCCCAGCTCAAAACTGCAAACCACCTAACAAAACTGAGGAACATGAATTGACAGGTGTAGGGAAAATCCCTTTTTCTTTCTTCGCGTCCCTGCTCAGCGCGTACACCACTGTTCCCGCAAACAGCACCCCACAATATTCCGTTACCACTCGCGACATTCGCCTCGACACCATTCCCGCCACTGTTCACGATGCGACCCTGAGGAGATTCACTCTACAACGGTAGTGAGCTAGACTATGGGGGTTGGCACGAACTACTAGAGGTGATCGTAGCTTTGCTTGGTTCCTTAGTGCTTGCACATTCACGGGAGAAATTGGCAAGAGTTTCCACTAGCAAAGTTGGAATTCCACAATGATACCACAAGAGATGACAAGAATGACTACATCAGGCACCTAGCAACCCTGCTGCTAGCCTAGTCGACCGCCAGCACAGCTCAGTCGATCGCCTGCCAGAGTTGCGTAGAGGAGCCGCGCCAACACTGCAGAAAGGTGACCTGCCAACGGAGCAGGTCGACGGCGTGCCAACGGTGCAGCAGAGCGGCTGTCCAGCGTTGCCCTGTAGAACACATCAGTGTGCACGCTCGCAGATGTGCGCAGACGATTGGTCTGACTTGCCTCGTTGGGCATTCGTCGGCTGTTGTCTGCGCCTGACGAGCCATATCGACTCCGGGATACCAGCCCGCAGTCGCCTGCGCCATCGCAGCCTCAATGACGTTCGCGTGCCTCCGCAGAACTCGTCGAGCAGGTTACCTGTTCGACCCGGTCGACCACGGTCGACCATCAGGTTCCTCTGGTCGACCACAGCTCTTGTCGAGCTACCCCCTGGTCGACGGACCCCTTCCGTCGACCAGAACCATCAGCGGTTGTCGACGAGCTCCTTTTGTCGACCGCTGCTCACTTGTCAGGTCGACGGACTGCTCCGTCGACCTCCCGGTCGAACTGCAGGTCCTGGTCGACGTCCCACCCGTTGCCCAGACTAGTCAGTTGCAGCTGTCAAGCTCCCTAGTCGATAGCAAAACCACAGCGGTCCCCTATAGCTCGACGAAGCCTGTCGAGCAGCTCTCCCACTGTGAACGGTCGGTTGCTACTCCCGTACTTCCGACCACGTCGTCGGCGTTGCCCAAGCGAGGGCGGGGCCAACACTCCATTCCTGTTAACACTCCCCTGCCGCGCTCACGCTTGGGCCTCCAGCCCACACGGCAGTACTCCACGGAGAAAACTCATCCTCGGCGTGCACCCCACACACAGCACGCCGTCAATGCACCAGCCGTGCAGAAGTGCACGGCACCTACTGCTGCACCTCATCGTCGCCGTCGTCGACGTCGGATAGACGAACTTGGCCGATGGTGACAGAGCACCGGTTGAAAGCCGGAAAATGCAGCGCTTTCGTCAGGAAGTCTGCCGGCTGCTCGGTGGTCGGGATGTACTTCAGCACGAATCTCCCGCGCCTCACCATGTGTTGCAGCCAGGCGTAGCGTTGCTCCATGTGCTTGAGGTTGCCCGTCAGCCCCAAGCCCTCAGCGACCGTGATTGCCGACTTGTTGTCGACGCGGAGGATGGTCGGCTTCCCAGCGTCGAGGAGCTTGAATTCCGCAAGGAGGAAGCGAAGTCGACGCCCCTCCTTGCCGGCATCCGTGGCCGCCACGTACTCCAACTCGGTCGATGACAATGTCGCGCACTTGATGCGAGAGCTCGACCAGGAGAGTGCGGCCCCTCCGTAGATGAGCACGTAGCCTCCCGTGCTCGTCTGGTTCTGCTTGTCACCCGCGTCGTCGGCATCGACGTAGTCAATCAGCTCCAATAATTCTGGTCCACCGACAAACTCTAAGGCGGTATCACGGGTGTCGGCGAGGTAGGCGAGGCAGCGGTCGACCTCACGCCAATGCTGGTCGCTCCTCACCGTGAGGCCACTTCCGAGCTTGCTGCAGGCAAAAGCGATGTCCGGCCTTGTCGTCGTCACCGCGAACTGCAGCGAGCCGACCTTCTGCCGGTACTCCTCCTCTTCGCGCTCCTGAGCCTCCTTGTCATCGAACGTCAGCTGAGCGTAGGCGTCGACCGAGACCGGTGTCTTCGGGACTCGACCGCCCTGCTCCTCGTCGATGAAGCGCCTGTGCAACTTGTCGGCGTAGCCCTGCTGGTGCAGCCACAACTTCTTGGCTGGCCTGACGCGCACGATCTCCAGCCCAAGGTACTTCACCACCGGCGAGATCTCACGTAGCTCGAAGGCGGCCTCCAGCAAATCCTTCAGCTCCTTCAGCATCGCGGTGCTGCTGCTAGCGGCAAGCAGGTCGTCGACGTAGACCAGCACCCAGCTGGTCACTCCGTCATCGCTGGCCTTGAAGTAGAGCGCCTCGTCGACCTGGCTCTTCTTCCAACCAGCGCCCAGCAGCACACCGTCGAGAGCCCTGAACCACAGCAGCGGCGACTGCTTCAGCCCGTAGAGGCTCTTCAGTAGCTTACACACCCGGCCGGTCCCGTCGTTGAAATAGTCCGGCTGGTACATGTAGAGCACCCTGTCGAGCTTGCTTTGCAGGAAAGCGTTCTTCATGTCGAGCTGCATCAGGTTGAGATTGAGGACGGCGACGATGCTGAGGAAGATCGTCAGCGTGATGTAGCTGCTCATCGGTGAGTACGTCTTGTCGTAGTCGGCGCCGTACACCTGCGTGAAGCCCTTCACGACTAGCCTCGCCTTCTCGCGCTTGACGGTGTCGTCGATGCGGTACTTGGTCGTCAGCACCCATCGGTTCTTCATGATGTTCACCCCGCGTGGGCGTTCGACCAGCTCCCAAGTCCCCATAAAGATGAGGCTACGGATTTCTTCTTCCATGGCGGCCTTCACCGCCTCGCCCTTCCAGCTCGACAGCGCCTCCTTCACCGTCATCGTGGCGATGTCCCAGCGGTGTTCGGGGTCGGCATGCACGTCAGGGTCGAGCTCCAGCAGGTCTTCATCCTCTTCGGCATCGTCGTACAGCAGGTCGTCGTCGACCTCGTCGTACACCGTGGTGAAGGCAGCTGGCGGTAGGCAGGCGTGGAAGCTCAACCGCTCCGGCGGCCGTCGAGCTCGACCTGTGCGTCGCAGCTCGGGCTTCGTGATCGGCACTTCCATTACATCGCTGTCGGTGGACTCCTCACCCGCCGACTGCTCCCCTTTCTCATCGACGTGAACGTCGTTGACCAGCTGCTTCGACCCTTCGACCGGCTGTTCGTCTGCTGCTGCCTTCGACAACTCTCCTGTCGAGTGTACCCCTGCCGTTGCCTCCTTTTCGACCGGCTCCCCTGTCTGGTGCTCCCTTGTCGTCGACGGCTTGCCATCTTGATCGACGAGCTTGGTGCCATGTCGACCGCCGGCGATGCCATGGGCCGGTGCCACAGGCGACGCCTCGAGGCTCCCCTCATCGTCGGTGGTCGACACAGGTGCCGACCCAGGCTGATCTGCGACGGGGAACGGAGGAGCAAAGACAGGGGGAGGGGAAGGAACCTCCACAACATCCTCATCACCAGGCTTGTCGACTTCGGCGAGCAACGAAACCGTCGCTGTCGATGTATCCGTTGGCGGGTGCGCCTGCGTCCGCTCCGACGCCGGCCCATACTTCGCCTTCCACACCTCCAGCGACAGCATCTCGTAGAAGATCACCTCGACCGACGTGACCACCTTGTTGTCGGTCAGGTCGAGCACCTCCCAGCCCTTGCTCTCTGGCGACACACCCAGGTGAAGTCCCCAGCGAGCCTTCGGCGCCAGCTTCCCACCACGTTGCTGCTCGGGAACCATGAACTGCACCATGCAGCCCCACACCCGCGCGAGCGTAAGGTCGGGCTTTTGCCCAGTCAGCAGCTGGTACGGAGTCGTCCCCGGTGGCGTCGTCGACCGCTCCAAGCAGTTGCGCACCCAGACAGCTTGTCGTAGTGCAAGGTGCCACCAGTGGTGCTGGACGCCCATGT